AATTATACTGAGCAAGTATAGAATTCCGTTATATAAATATTTTATTAAGTATGTATATATATACACTAATATTTTATACAATGTAATTTACAAGTAATTAATTACAGTAAACTACAAAGTATTAATGTAATAAAACTAATTTTAAATGACTCAAAGAATCTTGATAACTATATTTTAAATAATTATACAGTATTAAGCATTAAGTTTATTAGTATTAGTCTAAATATAATATAAGAGCAATTATTACTTTAAAAGCTAAATCTTTCTAAAAAGAGTTGGATCAGTTCAGTCTAATACAGAAATTGGCTTCTTGTGACAGGTTCCAAATAAATAAATTTTTAGTTTAAACTACTGTAAACCAAATAAGAATCGGAATGCATACTTATTTTAAAATAAACCAAAGTCGCTTTTCTCATATAAATCCATACTATGCTATTGTTTGAGTCAACTTGAAGTTGGCTTCAAAAAGTTCAAAATCAATCTAAAATCAACTAATCAGAGCATTTTAACATCCAGTCTCAAGTACATATATATGTATATATCTCTTAATTCCACAAATGCACTGTAATGCTTAAATCAAGGTCTAAGCTATTAATAATTGACACGTAAAACATGAATTATATAATAAAAAATATTTAATAACTGTTATCTATTAATTTGAAAAAGCTCAAAGAACTGCCTATACCTTTATTCCATTAATATACTGTATTTAGTATAATCACTGTAAACAATTTAAAGAAAATATTTTTAGATCTTCTAAAACTATGAAAATGCAAATGCAATTGTTGATATACTTTAATCCTTAATAAGATGTGAAACTTCTAAATTTCAAAACATAAAAAAAAAAAGATGCAAAAAAAAAATTAAAGCAAAAAAGGTAATGCAAAAAAAGAAAAAAAAAAAGAAAAATAACAATGTAAAAAAAAGTTTTTTAATTCTCAATATGAAAAAAACTTGTAATATTAACTTGTTTTTTTTGCAAAGCAGATAATCTTGAAATCTCCTTGCTTAACCGATGGATGGTATTTCTATCATTATCAGTAGCATTGAACTCATCGATTGTTGCAAAAGATATGTTTCAATCAAATTGATAGCTTTTAGAGCATCATTATCAGCAATTTTGGGTACTGGTTCTATTATTTCTTCCTGAAAGGGTTCATTCTTATTTTCAACAGCACAGATTATATTAGTATCAAACGGTATCTTGAAAATAATTTTAGCATCAATGTTTATAAATTCATTTGCATCCATAGGATCATTAATTTCATTTTTTTTTGCCAAATTGGTTATCAAACCACTAAGCTCCTCACACTTTCTTTCTAACTTTACTTGTACCTGTTGACATGCCTGATTCATTTCAACTACTTGGTATTGAGGAAGAATACCTGTCTTTATCCAACAATTCGCAATTGTTTCATGAGTAACATTGTTCCACGCATCAGATATAGCATTAATTGCATGAAGAATATTAAAACTATTAAGTTCAGATGAACCTATTGCTTTCATTTTGTCAAATGCGGCAAGCCAATTCTTAATAAAAATATGTTTATATTGGTACTTAAATGAGTTAATAATGTCAGCATTATATGGCTGGAGACTAGAAGTGGTATTTTTTGGTATCTTTTCAATATGAATATTGTCAAGTACCACTTGCTGAATATGAGTAGTGCAACAATCGACAAAAAGAAGAATTTTGTGGTTATGAGGTGTGGCGACCTAGTGAAGTGGATAGGTTGTCAACCCCCAAGTAGCAGGTCTAGAGTTCAAATCCTAGTAATGGTGAAAATTTGTAATTCTTTTTGTGTTATGGCTAACTGTCTTTTGTGATTGGTTGGGATAGGATACCTGTAACCCATGTCATACCAGCCTGAATGGAAGGTCTAGTCATTCATGCAACATTGTACGAAGGAACACAAACTGGTACCAGGTGGTGTGAACCTAAGATAAGTCCTTAGGCTGTGTAAATCATGGGAACCAGGTAGGAGAACAGAAGCCTACTTGGAAGATCCGAGTAGAGAGGTAACCTGAACTTTCAACGATGCTACTGTAAAGACTAGACCTATGAAACGGAGCTAGAACTTGTGAA